AGCTTCATCAAGATATCAGAATAATCTTTCACGGTCAAATTTAATTGTAAGAAATAAGTAAAAGTAGATTATTATGTTGTTGGACGAATTGAAATACAAAACAATAAATTAAAACCAACATGTTGATAGCTAATCGTGTTTGTAGAAACCTGCATAAATTTGTTTTCTATCCTTAAAGGTTTTTACTTTGCTTATAGGGTTGTATGCTAAACAATAAAACCTTAGGATTTAATGCAAATTTATCACTTTTCCTACAACTTTCCAACAACTCCCTCAAGTATTAGAATACTGAATACAAAAAAACATTTGTTTGGTGAAAATAATAATTTAGTTAAAATGAACGGTGTATGTTATTACAAAAGAAGTTATTGTTTCATAATTTTTTTTGCTAACTTATTTTATGGATAATTTTATTACATAAGTCTAACTTTTGATTTTCTATGAAATGGTATAATATCTAGTGAAAACTTTGTAGAATTCAAAAGGATTATAGATTTTTTAGATGATTTTTTATTTATTAAGCAGGTACATGTGAACCGAACCATAGTTACTCCCTCTGATTTGGTTTGGTTCCAAATAATGCAAGTAGTTACCAACTACATGTTGGTAATAACTTCACGTGTTTATCACGTGATTGATAGTTGGTTAAGTTTCTATATCAAGTTTGTTAGTGATTAACCTGTATTAAGGTTCCACTTTACTTGTAAGATGTAATCAGTTAGTTATCGGAGAAATAATAAGAAAATAGATTCCATCTCTCTTCTTCTTCTTTCTCTCTCTACATTTCGTATTCATGTTCATACCAAAATCAACATGGTATCAGAGCTGAATCTGATTCATGCTCAAAGTTTGATTCACCTTTTTCACTAAGATTTGTTTAATTCGTCTTCTTCATCTGTTGCTTCAATGGTGCCGACTGGAACAGTACCTGAAAATTCTAATTCCGCTAGAACTCAAATTACTTCTTTAGATCCACTCTATCTTCATCCCTCAGATCATCCTGGTATGCAATTAGTTACCAAACCATTTGATGGATCCAATTTTGGATCGTGGAAGAAGGTGATTACAATTGCACTATCAGCAAAGAACAAATTGGGATTTGTCAATGGTAAAGTAACTAAACCTTCCGCTAATCACACCAATTTTGATCTCTGGCAACGATGCAATGACATGGTGATGTCATGGATTCTGAATGTCCTCTCTAGTGATATTGCTGAATCTGTTCTCTATTCATCCACTGCTGAAGAAGTTTGGAAAGATCTTAATGATCGTTTTGGTCAATCGAATGGTGCAAAACTGTATCAACTTCAAAAGGAAATTTCAGATCTCACTCAAGGAACTAGCGATTTGGCTAGTTATTTCACAAAACTAAAGAAATATTGGGATGAATTAAGTGCTCTTTCGATCATTCCCAAATGTACTTGCTCTGCAGCTCATGAGATGCAAGAACTTCAACAAAATCAAAAGCTTATCAAGTTTCTAATGGGACTAAATGGAGATTACAGTGCTATTAAAGGAAGTATTCTGATGATGAATCCTCTTCCCACAATTACCAAGGCCTATTCTCTTCTCATTCAAGATGAGAAGCAACGTGAGGTACAATCTCCATCACATTTTTTTTTCCTGAATCTGCTTCAATGAATACAAGATCCAATGTTACAACAAAAAATTTCAAATCCACAAATGAGAACAAGAAGATCTATCATGTTCTTTCTGTAAGAAAAGTGGTCATACAGCCAATAAATGTTATAGACTGATTGGATTCCCAAAGGATTTTAAGTTCAACAAGAACAAGGTTGCTGCTAATGTTTCTGGTCAATTTACATCACAAGATGGTCCTAAAGAGTCTTTAACTTCGACTCATTCTATGCAAGAACTCTCCAATGATCAGTATCACCAATTGTGTTCTCTATTGAGCAAACTTAATGACAACAATGTTGGACAAGAATCTCCACAAGTCTCTGCAAATTTAGCTGGTAATGCTTTATTCTCCCAAGATATTTCTGATTATCCAATTAAATGTCATTGTCTTGAAACTAATACAATGACTTGGATAATAGATTCAGGGGCCAGTGATCATATGTGTTTCAATAAATCTGCTCTTATTAATATTCAAAAGCTCAAAAATCCTTATCGTATTACTTTACCAAATGGTCAACAAACTAATGCTCATGAATTTGGGAGTGTTGTCTTAGCCGAATCTGTTATACTTCATCATGTTCTTTATGTCCCTTTATGCAAATTCAATCTTCTTTCCATAGCCAAATTGTGCAGACAATTAAGATATTTAGTTGTTTTTTCAGAACATTCTTGTTTCTTGTTGCAGGGCCCTTCTCAGAAGAGGCCTCTGGTTCTTGGTAGACATCGTGTTGGGCTCTATTTTCTTCAATCAACTTCCAATAGCAATGAAGGAGTAGTACTTTCTGTTACTTCAACACCAAAATTTCATTCATCCATTTTGTTTCCATCTTGTAATGTTGTTTCTAAAACAATTTCTGTATCTATTTGGCATAAAAGACTTGGCCATCTTCCTATGTACAAGTTAAAAACTCTTGATTTGCTTAATAAATCACATTTCATTGATACTTCTTGTGATTCTTGTGAAGTTTGTTCTAAAGCTAGACAACACAAGCTCCCACTCTCCATTAGTTCCATTCATAGTTCAACAATTTTTGAAATGATTCATGTTGATACATGGGGTCCCTATCACACTAAAACTTATGATAATCATTCATACTTTTTGACCATTGTGGATGATTACTCAAGAGCTACATGGACTCATTTACTTAGTACAAAGAGCAATGCATTTGGGGTAATTAAAGGATTTATTGAAATGATTGAGACCCAATTTGGGAGAAAATTAAAGGTCTTAAGAACCGACAATGCTTTTGAATTGGGGTCAAGTAATGAAGGGATTTCTTTTCTACAACAAAAAGGTATCATTCATCAAACAAGTTGTAGATATACCCCTCAACAGAATGGAGTGGTTGAAAGAAAACATAAACACTTGTTAGAAACTTCCAGAGCTCTTCTTTTTCAGTCTAAATTACCCCTTAAATTTTGGGGAGATTGCGTTTTAACTGCTACTTTTCTTATAAATAGATTCCCTTCGAAAATCCTTCATGGTAAATCTCCATTCTCACTTCTCTATGGTACTCAACCTTCTTATTACCATTTGAGAACATTTGGATGTTTATGCTATGCTAGTACTTTACAACATAACATGGATAAACTACAACCAAGATCAATACCTTGTATTTTTATTGGTTATCCATATGGAAAGAAAGCTTACAAATTGTATGATTTGGAAACCAAGAAGATTGTTATTTCCAGGGATGTAGTATTTCATGAAGATATTTTCCCTTTTCAACTTCACAATGACCATTCTACACCTGTGTTTTCACCACAACCAAGTCTATCTCCTTTTGAAGATAGTATCAGTTCATCACCTGATCCATCCTCTTCTCCTTTACCAGTTCAAAATTCAATCAACAACTTTGTTCCTAGAAGATCTGAACGAGTTCCTATTACCCCTGCCCATTTAAAGGACTACATTTGTAACAATGCCTCTGTTACAAATTTAGATGATTTTTGTCCTCACTTTGCATCATGTATACACACTGTCACACACACTCATCAGCCCAAACATGTGTGTTTCAATTCTTTATCTGAACAGAGTCAACAATCTTTTCACAACATGTCTAAGATCATAGAACCATCTTCTTATGATGAAGCCGCATCCATCCCTGAATGGCAAGAAGCCATGAATAAGGAACTTGAAGCACTTGAAGCTAATAACACTTGGACTTTAGTTGATCTTCCTAAAGGAAAGAAGCCCATCAGTTGTAAATGGGTTTACAAGGTTAAATACAAGGCTAATGGGGAAGTGGAAAGATATAAAGGAAGATTAGTTGTGAAAGGGTTCACTCAAAAAGCTGGAATAGATTACAATGAAACTTTCTCTCCTGTGGTGAAAATGACAACAATCCGGGCATTAATTGCAACCGTTGTAAAGAAAGGATGGCCATTATATCAACTAGATGTGAATAATGCATTCCTTCATGGAGAATTGCATGAAGAAATTTACATGAAACCTCCTCCTGGTTTAAAACTTATTAATTCACATCAAGTTTGTCTTTTACAGAAATCCTTATATGGTCTTAAACAAGCATCTAGGCAATGGTATGAAAAGTTGACATTTGCTTTAAAGACTAAAGGATATCAGCATTCAAAGAATGATTATTCATTATTTTTCAAACATGATGACAAATATGTTACATTTGTTGCTGTTTACGTTGATGACAATATGGTGACGGGCAACAATGAAGAAGAAATTACAAGTTTAAAACAGTTTCTTGATTCTACCTTCAAAATTAAAGATCTTGGTCATTTAAATTTTTTTCTTGGCATTGAAGTGTTATATTCAGATTTGGGGGTGATTCTTACACAAAGGAAATTTGCAAATGACATTTTGAAAGAATTCGATTGCAATGGAACCGTTGCTTGTCCTCTTCCAACCAATTCCAAACTATTTTTAGGACAAGGGGCGGTTTTGGAAGAACCGGAACTTTACAGGAGACTTGTGGGCAAGCTTAATTTTTTAGTTCACACTAGACCCGATTTGGCTTTCGCTGTTCAACATCTAAGTCAATTTATGTCTGATCCAAGAAAGCCACACCTTGATGCTGCTACACATGTTCTAAAATATATCAAAAATGATCCTAATCAAGGTTTATTGATGAATAAGTCCAATGATTATTCATTACAAGCCTACTGTGATTCTGATTGGGCTTCATGTCCTCAATCTAGAAGAAGTGTGAGTGGTTTCATAATACTTCTTGGAAACAGCCCCATTGCATGGAAGTCAAAGAAACAAATTACAGTTTCCTTATCCTCTGCAGAAGCAGAATATCGTAGCATGCAAAGAGTGACAGCTGAATTGGCATGGTTGACTCGTTTATTGCATGAATTTACTGTCCCAAATGTTACTCCAGTTGAAGTCAAATGCGATAGTCAAGCTGCCATTCACATTGCCAAGAACCCTGTATTTCACGAACGGACAAAGCATGTTGAGTTAGATTGCCATTTTGTCCGGGAAAAACTTCAAGATGGTTTAATATCCTTAAAACATGTCCCTACTGATCTTCAACTTGCAGATTTATTCACAAAATCATTACCAAGTAAGCAACATCATTTTCTATTAAACAAATTGGGAGCTCAACACTCTCCAATTTGAGGGGGGGGGTGTTGGTAATAACTTCACGTGTTTATCACGTGATTGATAGTTGGTTAAGTTTCTATATCAAGTTTGTTAGTGATTAACCTGTATTAAGGTTCCACTTTACTTGTAAGATGTAATCAGTTAGTTATCGGAGAAATAATAAGAAAATAGATTCCATCTCTCTTCTTCTTCTTTCTCTCTCTACATTTCGTATTCATGTTCATACCAAAATCAACACTACATGTCCACAATTCATAATTTTATTAGTATCCAAACTTAACCATCCCACAAATAGACATTGTTATGTTAAACACATGCTAAAAGCACTTGCTTCTTATCCTCATCTTTGACATCAACCCCGTCACGAAATTGACTCTTTCAATATTGATAATGACATACACTTGGATTAAGATGACAAAGGAGTGTTAGCAACACCAATGGACAAAACTGAAAATTACCTATTTTGAACCTATTATTTACCTTAAGGTTTCGTTTGTTTCTTAACTTTATGCTTGAAACTGGTAAAGCGCTCATTGTAGGAATGGGGATTAATCCATCTGTAAAATCAAAAAATAAAAAGAGAACTAAATTTTGCTAATGTCAAACATCATTTGCAACTTTTGCACCGCCTCAACAAATGGCGTCCATGTAAGCATATGTAAGCAACTATAGGTAAATGATGACTTATATAAAAAAAATTAATTTCACAACCTGCTCTTTATTTTCCCCTTCAATCAAGGATGAACAAAGTTCATGGAACCTTTACGTGATATAATGGCTTCTTTTCTTCCATGTCAATCAAAACTCCTCATAAACTATATAACCCATTGACTTCCCCCACGCTTTGCATTTAGGGGTTGTTTGGTAGCCTCTTAATTGACAAATTAAGAGGCAACCTCTTAACTTTTCAGATTAAGAGTGTTTGGTAATATCTGAATTTTTACCTCTTAATTTATCATACGCCTCTTATTTTTTCAGATATGAAACAAAATCTGAATAAAAACTAGACACGCTTGCTCCTCCCAACTTTCCTTCTTCTCTTTCACAACACGCTACACTCCATACCCTTTGCATCTCCGGTCTGTAAACCGGCCAACCCAACCGCCACCAACCGACCACCGCCTCTGCCTCCGACTCCGCCAGCAACGTCGTATCCGGCAGCGACGTAACCGCCGCCGGCAAGGAAGCCCTCTATGTTTGCTTGAAATCGCCTCCGATCTGCAATCAGATGCTTTGCCCTAAGTTTTTTCTTTTGTTTTGCTCGAAAGGTGCAAGGTAATTTGATTAATGATCCATCATGCTCAAGTTGAAATCATCTCCCAAACATTGTAGATATCATCCGATCTCTTTGTTGATTTTTTACTAGAACAAGAACAATGATGCATTTTTTTTCTTTTTTCCCCTATATTGCTTTTGCCTTTACGTTTTTTTTCCTGGTTTCAATCAAAAGAAAATGGTTTTTTTCATGTTATGTGTTTTTTTCTTCTTTCCCATGTTATCAATGTTTTTTTCTTCAATCGTTAGATGGGAGATTATTGGATATGAAGCCTAATTTGTGTTTTAAGCATATTTGTTGAATCATGTAGGTGTGAAACGTTTAAATTTTAGCATATCTTTTTGCAATTACAGATTATGTTGTTGCTTAATTAGAGAAGGTAAAGAAAAAGGCATTAAAATTGGGACAATGAGTGGTGCACGTAGATGATCAAAATCCTTATGTGACAACAAAGAAGAAGCAATCCCTTAAAGTGGAAAGATTCTTGATTCAAGCTTTCATGGAGATACTTCACTAAAACGATCAAATTCAGAAGCTAATGATGTATTTCTGTCTGATGATGATTTTTCTCATGACCCTATGCAACAACCAAATGAAAACATCCCATATAGGTTTGCAATTTCATTACATGCAACAACAGGTTCGTAACATCACAGATTCATAGATGTTTGTTTAGATGCTTTTATTTAATAAGTAATAACTTCAAATTCTTTATATCCCACATGCTTTTATTCGGTCATTTAGAAATTTTGATGCTGAAATCAGATTTGTGTTTGATGTTCTGGCTGTTATCATGAACTATGCATTACTTTTGCTGAATTGTGCATTTATTTTGTTGAAATTGTTGTTAAAAATGTTCTTTTGATTTTATGGCAATCGAGGAGAACAATGGTCAAGCATAAGGGGGAGAGAATGATGGTCGAAACATACACGATATGGAATCGAGTTTTGAAGGCAACAAATACATGGATAATTTGCGTGACCGATTGCGAATCAATTGGGGTCAAATTAAATTTGTAGGATTTTATTTGGATCTTAATATGATTTTATGGATTTAAAAATATTTATGTTTGATTTGGATTAGTGTTTAATTTTGATTTATGTTAAATTTGGATTTTACATGGTGTTTATATATATTTTTTATATTTATTTAAGAAATTTATTAGGTTATTTTCTAAACAAACACTTGGATTCAATAAAAAACAAAACAGAAGGGTAAAATGATCATTTTAATAATTCAGCACAACAATTCAGATGTCTCAACCAAACAGCATGTTAAACATTCAGTTCTTAAAATTTCAAACCCTCTTAGAAATTCAGATCTCTTAAAAATTCAGATCCTGCCAAACAGCCCCTTAGACTTGCTAACCAACTTTACAATCGTTAGAAGTTAATGCATCTTCACCACTCTAAATTTTTTGATAATCTTTGTTTGGTGAACACAACCGTTTATGGCTATCTATCATAAATTGACATTCAAAATGAATAAAGTTGCATTCATTACACATAACATGACTAAACTAACAGTCAAGCTTTCTAAATCTATATTTTATGACAAGATGAAAAGGACATTCGCATATTTTGCTAGAGAAAATAAAAATTTGTAATTTTTACCCAATCCATATGATATATTGGGTTATGTTGTAAAAAGTTATAATCTTTGTGCTTTGACTCAATTCTCACATAACAAACATGATCTAAAAAAATGAAATGAAAGTTTGAGCCCATCCCTTGTTGAATAATTTCAAAACAAACAAACAAAAACAAAGTCTTATGATAACTTTTCACCCAGACATTTCATCAAACACCTAGAATGCATATTATTCAACGAAACCAACAAACATCAAAAGACTATCTAGCGGTAGACCGCATGGCAGTCCATGGAAACTTGGACGTGCCGGCGGTGCTATCAGTGCCACCGCCGCCCCTCCGACGGTCCTCCACACCCCGCCGTTCCCTACCACCATAACCAGTCTGTTTCTTAACCCCACCACCATCAAGCCAATGTGTTTTCTTTGTTTCATCACCTTCAACAATGCTTGATTTAGCCTGTTTGCTCATCATGTTCTTCTTTTCCTCTTGGATTACACGAATAGGGTATAAATCAGGGGATATTGAAAGAGGGTTTCTTAAAGTAACATATGCTTTTTTGTAATCAGGTTTAGCAATCAAAACTCCACCTCTTTTCTTCTTCTTTCCATCCATGTTTAGGGTTCGAACCTCGTCCACTTCAAATCCGTATAATGATTCCAAAACTCTCTTGATTTCAATCTAAATTTGGAATTATAAAAGGTAACAAAAACATACAACAGAATATGCACAAAATGTTATTCAAAAAAAGTAATGTTTGTGTACCTTTGAAGCAGAGGGGATGGTTTTGAGGGCGATTTCGGTAATGTTTGAAAAAGAAGAGGGCATGAGAAGCTTTATTGGGATATTGGCAAAGTTAACCACTCTTCTTCCCAATCTACTGCCCATTTTTTAAATGAAAGCCCTAAAAAGTAATGGAAGCAAAGAAATTCAGTTGATTCAACTCTAACCTTTTTGTGTATGCTAAATTCAAGAAAATCTTATCTAAAATGCATATGGATTCCTTAAATTAGCAAACAGAATAAGGAAAGCCAAGACTACCCAAGTCCCTAGTGACTAGAGAAGAAACTTACATTATCTCATTCATTAAAAAAAATTATATTCAACAGAATTTATTTTGAGGGTGACATTATGTAGAATCAAGAAAAGTAATACCTTTACATTACCATTGTATCTTTAAGATGTTAATCATATGTTGGTGTCTAAGGTCTCTAGATAACTAGAAAATTAGCTATACAGATCGTTTATGAGCAAAGATAGCAGCTGAGAGAAGATTAAGATGAGGATGATTAGAGGTGCCAAAATGGGCAGTTGGGTCTGATTGGGCAATGGATTAAAGTGGTAAGGGCTAAAATCAGCAGTTTTTAGAGAAAACATCTTTTTTTCAGAAAGCAATAGCTCTCTGAATTCAAAAATCACACACACACAGCGCAGATAAGTCTCATAAGAAAGCTGCCCTGCTACTTTATCATAAGAAACATACATTTGTTTGCATTTGTATGTCAGGTAACTCGAATGCTTCATCTTTTTTGGTCTATAGCTGCAAGCTTCTTATAAGAGGATGAACATTGATGGTGGGTCTTGGGTTTTGGGGCTTTAGACGGATCTGTACATTCAAATAAGAGCAACGACAATGATTCCGATTTCTGGCATTGATTCGGATCCTAATCACAGATTGTATAAATCTGGTGGTTGTTTATTTAAGCATGAAAGCTCTGTTTCTGCTACTGTTCATAAAGAAGACGATAATTTTCTTCTTATCTTACTGAGCTCAAAAAATTCATTCCAACAACGTGCAAATCGCAAGGGACGAATCGAAAGCTCAAAAGTTAATAGAAATTCGAACAACTAACCGGTTTCATCAAATTAAACAAGGTAGAAACCCTAGTTTTAGATGGAACGATCAAATGAATGGAGAAACTAACCTGAAATAACGGAATTTCTGGATTACTATAAGCAAATGATGAGCGACTCAAGAGAAATGAGAGCAATCTGCGAGAATCGAGATGGAAGATGTTTCCGATTGCAATGGAGCGACGAGAAGCTCCTCGTTGTCGGCTATTCGGCTTCAGTTTTCTATATAGGCCGTGTCATTTGGATAGTACATAGAGTCTAAATCATTGACAAGAATCAAAATTGACCCAATAAGTCCAGCCCAATATAATCGATCTTACTTACAAGTCTGCAACAAAAATTGTCTAATTAGACGTTGTTATTACTAATCTTAAATTCACATCTTTATTATAATAATTATAATCGATATTGTTAAGTATTATATATGCTTATAACTAAAAGATAATATTTAATTAAGATTATTATGAATTGTAATTTATTTTGGTGAGAATGTGTATGACATATGAATCAAATTCTAAATCATATGAATTCTCATTTAATGCTAGTGGAGGGGATAATTTTTTTGTTTTCTACATTTAATCCCTTTCAATTATTTCTTATTTACCTTTTTTTTTTTTTTTTTGCAAACAGCAAAATATTATCAAAAAACCCACATCAAGGAGATGTGAAGAACAAACAAACAATACAAAAGAAAACGGAAAAAAACAAACGAAGAACAACAGGGAAATTGAAAACGATTACAAACAAAGGAAATGACTAATATTCAAAACTCTCCAATCCATTTTTTTGAATGAACCTCTATGCTTGCACCATATAAATGTTGTTGCTTTTATTCTTTTCACTGTGTTCGCCGAAACTATTGGAATTTTTTCAAAATCTTTTTGTTCCTATCCATCCATATCCATCCATATGAACCATAAAGCTCCACATAATATTGCATTGAACATTCTTCTTTTATATTTACACTTCGACCACCGTGAGATGAACAAGGGCATATTATCCACCAAAAGAAATCTATCACATCTAATCTCACACCACACCATTATTGAATCCATTATTTCCTTTGCCACATGACAAGTTAACAAAATATGTTCACATGTCTCCTCCTCTGAATTGCATACACCACGCATAGTATTTAGAATTATGATACCCCTGTTTTTAATTCCACAGCAGATGGAATTCTACCGAGTTTTGCTCTCCAGATGAAACATAGAATCTTAAAGGGAATCAACTTATCCCAAGCAAATAGTCCGTCGTTGACGATATATCCCGCCAATTCTATTATCTCCCGTAACATGAAGACCATAAACCTACCATCTCTTACAAAGTCAGATTCCCAACATCGATCTGTTGAACTCCACGACACAATTTCCTTTGGTTCAATGTTATATTGCATATAGCGATTTCGTGTTTTTATAATATTTTTCCACACCCCGGTGTTGGATCTGTTAGCGTAAAGAGACCAATGCCTCCCTTCTAGATTATGGATACTTCGAATTACTTTGGACCACATAGATGGTTCATCTGCTTTCAAGCGCCACATCCATTTGGCTAACAAAGAAATATTCGTAGCTTTAATGGACCCAAGCCCAATGCCTCCTACCTTCTTTGGTGCTATAATCTTATCTCATTTGATCCAATAAATACTTTTTTGTTATACTCTCTACACCAAATGAATTTCCTCATAATTTTTTCAAGTGTGTCAAGAACGCCATTTGGGATTACAAATATAGACATAAAATATGTTGGGAGATTACCCAACACCGCCTCTCCAAGTGATACTCTACCACCAAAGCTCAATGCTTTCGCTTTCCACGTAGACAACTTGGAGTGGAACTTTTCAATGATCGGCCTCCATGCATTCTTTTTATTCATATTGTCACCAACAGGGATACCCAAGTAAGTAAATGAAATCGATGATGGTTCACATCCAAGAGGGATACCCAAGTAAGTAAATGAAATCGATGATGGTTCACATCCAAGAAGGACAGACCAATTCAAGATTTCCATAAAGGGGAGCACCAACACCAAACACTTTTGACTTTTTATTAAATATTTATTGATATTAACTATGTGAAATATAAAATTTATAATGATTATATAAAAATATACAAAAATTCAAAAAATTACTAAAAACACATCACTCGACAAACAAATACCTAATCATTGTATTATTATATATTTATGAAAAAATATATATAATTTTAACTTATTTATATTTATATTTTTTATAACATTAAATAACTATAAATAAATACTATTAGTTATCATGTGTGTTTAAATAACTAATTGGTTTATATAATATTAATATTAACTGATAATAAAAAAATACATAATCTTACTCAAGAAAAAGAAGATTGAGAGCGAAATAGACGGGATACATGTGTAAAAAAAAGTCAAAAAATTACTAAAAACCAAGGTTCTAAAAAGCTCGCTATGACTCCAAGGCTTGCATGTGCCGTCAAGATTTGCCAAAACGCCGCCTTGACCCATATATGTGTATAAAAATGAATAATAGTAGAAAATACATATAAAAATATGAATTATATACAAAATTGCCGCCTTAAGTCACGCCTTACAAACGACGTGACTCGCCAATACTTGAAAAAGCTTGAGATTTGACATTGTCACCAAGTCACGTCTTACGTTATTTAGAAGCTTACTAAAAACACATCACTAGATGAACAAATACCTAATCATTGTATTATTATATATTTATAAAAATATTATCCATAAACATATCCAAACTTTAGATGATAAAATAATCAAATTAAATAATAAATTGACGTGGAATACAATGGTAATGGCAGATTACTTATAGATAATCAATCATTTTTTTTTCTTCATGTTCTTCAAAATTTGTGCACGCATGATGCTTCATGTTCTGATACAAAAATCAAACCACCTAAATTCACATATACATGGCTGCTCAAATCTCTCCCATTTTTTCAACATGCACCACTAAATCCGTGAATGATGAGTCTCTCGTCCCCGGTTTCGATTCCCAGAGAATCACCAAATATACAACAATTTCCTTCTCTTCTCACCTCAACGCCAATCTGTCAATCAAGTATGTTTCTTCCTATTACTACTCACTTGATACTGTTATATTTTTGCTTCAATTGATATTTGTTTTGTGATTAGATACAGATTTTCGGTTGTAAGTAACAAAATCAGTTCACCACTGAACTGAATCAGTCTAAACTTTGAATTTAGGCTTATGATTTGGAATTTATGGCTCCAAAATCATAGTCGTAATCCGATCTTCCTGATAGAGATGAGATCTTTGCTTGAAATAGGAACCTTAAGGGCATCATTTATCAATTTGATACCATGATTCACCAAAATCACGTCTAAAATTTCCATATGATGTTAGATTTAGTATCATACTACTGTAACCTGTTTATGCTTCTTACGATTACACCACAATGTGTTCATTTCGGTTCTATTTGTATGCTGTAATAGATCTTTGGAGACTAGAAGAAGACGACGAAAACAAAACTACTCCAAATTAGTAACAGAATGCTACTCTGACCAAATGAAGCTTGATACCAGTCTGGGCCCTAGGGTCAATTCCGTAAATCCTTCAAAAACAGTGTCCCTAATTGACGAAACAGCTGCACTTCTAGAAGCCGGTATTCCTGTCATTCGCTTAGCTACCGGAGAATCCGATTTTGACACCCCCGCTGTTATCGCTGAGGTAGCTGCTGTTTTCATGATATAAATCTGTCGATTATTTCGTCAATTCAATCCACTCTCTTTCATTGCTATAGTTGTTAAAATCTATATTTACTTTTCTTTGTACATAGGCTGGAATAAATGCAATTCGTGAAGGTTACACAAGGTATACATCTAATGCAGGTACCCTTGAACTACGAACAGCAATTTGCAAGAAATTGAAGGGTAAGATCAAATGAAATTTGAATCCTTTTGAGTTTTGAGATATGAACATTGATGATTCCTTAAATACTTTTCTTTTATTTCCTTGTTGTAGAGGAGAATCATATTTCCTACACACCCGATGAAATTGTGGTTAGTAATGGGGCAAAACAGAGTACACTACAAGCAGTTCTTGCTGTTTGTTCCCCAGGAGACGAGGTCTGAGTATAAATTTATGAATTATGATTTCTATAAATAGATTTGTGGGATTGTTTAACAATGTTTCTTGATTTTTCAGGTTATAATTCCAGCTCCATTTTGGGTAAGTTACCCTGAATTGGCAAGGTTGGCTGATGCAACACCTGTGATTATTCCTGCAAGCATCTCTGAAAATTTTCTGTTAGATCCGAAGCTTCTAGAATCTAAGCTTACTCAGAAGTCAAGACTGCTAATTCTTTGTTCTCCATGTAACCCAACAGGGGCAGTTTATCCTAGGAAGCTTCTAGAAGAAATTGCTCTAGTTGTTGCAAAGCATCCAAGACTTTTGGTAATCACTGTCTTGGCTTTGGCGTGTGTAGTTCTTGGAATCTGATGGAATTGGAATTCAAGATTCCCTCTCGTGTTTCTTTTGGTGGATTGAATCAAATTCCGTTGGAATCTTCATGTTTCATTTGTTTTCTTGTTTATCTCTTTTAATTATTAAAAGACCGAAATACCCTTAGGAAGGTCACAACAATGACCAAGATGGTATGTTCCATTAAAAAAATGACTTACCCTTTCAACAAAATTACCATTTATTTCGCAAAGGAACCGATGAATTTCGAAATTGCTTTATGCTCTCCACGACAAAAAAAAAAAGATCTTTAAAGAAATTCGGGAAAAATATTATATGAATAATAATTCATATATTATAGTGGGGACCATCAAAAAAGCATTTTCACAGTTTGCAATAGGACCCATATGATCTGACCATTTTGTAAGGTGGACAATTTTTTAAATACACCATGTCATTTTGATCATTTTTGTGATCACCCCTAAATTAAAAGTTCAATTTATATACACTTACAATAAACAAAAATCTACAAGCATACATAAAATTTTGAAATTTATTTGCATTAACACGTGGACAAGGCGACGATTCTTTCAAAAATCCAATTCCTTCGACAGATTTAATTTGTTTGAAAAACAATGTTTAAGTAATGTAAACATGATTTGATTGATGTTGGTTTTGTTGATGTTCAGGTGGTTTCTGATGAAACTTATGAGCACATAATATTTTCGCCAGCAACCCACACGAGTTTTGCATCTTTGCCTGGCATGTGGGAACGGACACTAACAGTCAATGGGTTCTCTAAGGTATAAATATGATATTTATATTTGCATTCACAATTCCCTTTTCTATATAAATTAATGCACTGAAAAGCTGTATTTTTCTTTAGTCATTCATTGGACATTCTTTATTAATTAATGTCTAATGATATGTATAAGAGTAGTGTGCATATTTATTTGTTGTAGGCTTTTGCAATGACTGGATGGAGACTTGGATATATTGCTGGTCCTAAACACTTTGTTGCTGCCACTGGAAAAATTCAAAGTCAGGTATGTACATAGTCTCATTCTAATTAATTTTCTTATTGTGTGTGTGTGTGTGTGTGTTTCACATGTGAAATTTTCCATATTTCTCTATCGGAAACATGATCAAGATTGTTTTCATGAAGTTCTTTTTTGGAACAAATGAGAGCAAATGACTATTTTACCCTTGGTGTTGTGTGAACAAAGACTGGTTCTTTTTTGAACTAAATGATAGTAAAAAACCATTTTACCCTTATGTTTGGAGGAAGTGTTGTATGAACAAAGGTTAATTTTTTTTACTGAATGTGAGTAAATGACCATTTTACCCTTATGTAGTTATGTCTAGAAGTGTAGTCCGAATAAAATTTGTTTCTTTTTTGACTGAAGTATGAACAAAGAACGTTTCCTTTTTTGCAACCGGCTGAAGGAGGAGGAGGGTAAATGACCATTTTACCCTTCTGTCTAGAAGTGTTATATTGACTATGAATTTTCTTTTATGGACTGAAAAATGAGTAAATGATTGTTAACCTTTTTTCTACAAGTGATGCTAAATATACTACCCATTGCCTTAATGGAATAGAATATACTACCGGATAAATGACTATTTTGCCCTTTCATATAATCTTTTGTTGAATAACGAGTCAATTTAGTCCCTCTGCTTTGTTGACTCAGTCAACTTCAGGTGCTAGTAGCATATCTCAAAAAGCGGCTGTAGCTGCTTTAGGAATGGGATACGCAGGTGGAGAAGCTGTTTCACAAATGGTCAAAGCATTTCGTGAACGAAGAGATTTTTTGGTCAAAGCTTTCAGGGAATTAAATGGTGTCAAAATATCTGAACCTCAGGTAAACTTAATGCCCATGTGGTAAATAAACTTTTCTAATTTAATTTTAGTTTTAATATTTATTTTCGGGAACTTTACACCACATAGGCTTACTAAACAATTAGGGACTTAAACAACAAAATGACAATAGATGGTGGCTAAATAGTGAAATTAACCCTTTCATTTTCTTACCAATTTATGCATCAACTAATACAAATTATGCGTCGTGTTTCAATCAGTTAGAATGACACGCATATAAAACACAACTTTGTAATATTCGTGGTTTGGTTTACAGGGTGCTTTCTACATCTTTCTTGATTTGAGCTATTACTATGGTATGGAGGTTGATGGTTTTGGTTTGATTAAGGATTCAGAGTCACTATGTCGGTATTTGCTGCAAAAATGTCAGGTAATATTTTAGGCTTTAAATAATGCAAGAAATACCATCATACATACATTTATTGAAGCATTCTACTTTCATTTCTTCCTATACAAATCAATTTTCAATGATATAATTGGATAGGTTTTTAAAAGCAAAATGTCCTAATAAGAAAAATTGAAAGTATGAAAATGCAATTCTATAATTGTTTAGAATAATAAATTATTGAAAGTAGGTTGCTAATTCTTGCATTTAAATGAACTCAGGTTGTCCTTGTCCCGGGAGTTGCATTTGGGGATGACAATTGCATCCGGATCTCTTATGCAACATCTCTCTCCACCCTTCAAACCGCTGTTGACAGAATTAAGAAAGCTATCGTCACTCTTAAAGCCCCACCCGCGATATCTCTTTAAATATTCCAAACCAAGTCAGGGTAAAACTGTCATTTCACATAGTGTGAGTGATATTGGGAAATGGGAATGTTTCTTTTTTCTTGTGATTAGGCAGAAACTTATTTTTTAAGTTATTTATTAGGACGTTTTACTTTCTTCTTTAACAATTAAATAATTATTCTTATCTATTGGAAATTTGTTATGAAGCTTTCCTCATCCAATCTGTCGCTTTTAAGAAGGATATTACTTGTGTTGACTTTGAACTGTATAAAAACAGTACAATATAGGTGGAAAATATTCATTTTTATTTTGTATATTTATCCTTAAATTCTTTTCATTGGTTTTTATCTATCCTTTTTAACTATGTTTTTCTTTATAAAAATATGCATTTTTATTTTTGTATATTTAATGAAATAAATCAAATAAACTAAAAATATTAAAGACTTGAAACTTAATTAGGGTAATGGGATGACATTAAAATATTGTTGAGAGAAGGGGATAAAATGAACAGAAATTCAATATACAATAATCTTTTATTCTAGGGGAGAGTTAAAAAATAAGTTGTGCCAAGCTTAATAAAAAAAAGAGGTTATCAGGCACGCTTATATAGAGGGTGTTTGGCTTAGTTTTTGTGGGGCAAAAGTCTTTTTTGTAAAAAGACTTTGTACAAAAGTTGTTTTTTAAAATGTGTTTGGATTAATTTTAGAACGAAAAAGTTAAAAGTTAAAGTGTTTGGTTTAACTTTTACATGTAAAATGATTAAAAATGACATATTTACATTGATTTACTACTTTACATATATTATTTTATACTTAATTTTTTTTAAACACATATTATAATTTTGTAAACATTTTATTAGAAAATATAAAATATAAATTTCTTTTAAAATATTTCTAATTTTTTGGATTAGACCATGACAATATTGAAATTACTACGTTCATACAAATTGTAAATAATTCATAAGAGGACTTTTTGGATTAGACCATGACAATATTAAAATTACATTCATACGAACCGTAAATAATTCATAAAAAAATATCATAGATAATATTACATTCATCTTCGCAATGTGATTATATCTTGTGTAATAATATCACGTATTGCTGCCATATATAAATCATCATCACTTGTGCAATGTGTACTTGGACCTTCTTCGTAAACATCACTACCAGTATCACCTCGTACGAGATTGTAGGATTCTTTTTGTGCCTTATTAAACGCTTCATCAGACCTACCAACCTTTCTAATGTAGTTATGGATCGCCATCGATGTTATCACAATTCTCACTTGGTTCTTGTACTTGTAGTTAACATGCATGTCTCTTAATAATACCTACCTAGCTTTCCACACTCCAAAAGTCCGTTTAATGATATTTCGCAATGATAAGTGAAGATAATTAAATTTCTCTTTCAGTCCACGAGGTTCATGAATAGCATCCCTGTGTCCACATAGAAAATCCGATAAATGATAACGAATATTTGTGCATTTGTATGGAGCAAGATACCCTCTCGTATTTGGATATCCGACATCAACAATGTAATATTTATCTGTAAATAAAACAAACATTTATTATTCGTTTCAAACAAGTAGTAAAAACATAAAACTTGTGTTCCAAAAAAAAAAATACTAACAACCCGTTGGATAGAGAAAATTAAGATCTGATCTCTATAAGGCTTCATTGAAAATTCTTATATCATGTGCAGTCCCCTCCCAACCGGCCCAGAAAAATGTAAAACACATGTTAAAATCACAAAAAACCATTATATTTTGTGTTGCATATCCCTTTCGACCAATGTACTTCACTTCATCTTTTTGTGGAACCGATGCCATGACATGTGTCCCATCTATAGCACCAATGCAATCCTTCAAATTCAAAAATATATCATAAATATATATTTGTTAAAGTTTGACTACCAAGAAAATAAACATTGGATAATACCTTGAACATTGAATAATACCAATGTTTATTTAATATATATTCGGAAACATCATCATTATAGTTTGCGTCTGGCTTGATGATGTCGGCATTCAGTTTTAGCACGACTTCCAAAACTGTATGGAAATGCCTGTGAATCGTTTCCCCCGAATGATTAAAAAATTCTTGCACAAAAATCTATTGCTACACCCATGAGCAAAAGTCATCAAGAATATTCCTACAGACTCCTCAATAGATACTTTTCGTGTTTGTTGTAGCCCGTAATTTGCAGTAAGATCTATGCATAACTGTCTAAAAACCGGTACGTTGAGTCTAAACATCTCATAACAACGTCTAGGATGACCATTTAGTACTTCAGTAATAAACATGTGCCCCGTGCGGTTTGAAGTGTGACATGGCGTACGTAAGTTACGAGCGAGTATTATCCCTTTCAAAGCTAATCCACATAACATTTAAAATTCTCTATCCTCTTTCACCCAACATTCTTCATTATCGTTGGGTGAATTAGAATCATCACTATCAATCCTACATAATACAAATAAAAAGATGTCAACCATTAACACATAATATAAAATGTCGATTACATAAAGACAAACAATAACACATTATAAAATGTCAAATACATAATCTCAAAGGACAACACATAATGTCAAAACATAAAACATAATGTCAAAGCATAGCACATACTATCAAAGGATAAAACATAAATGCCAAAGCATAACACATATTGCTAAATCATTATTTCATAAGTAACTTAAGAAACTCCATCTTGGCTTCGTCGGTCGTTGTAACATAAAAGCTTCACGATTTTGCTTTTTGATGAAGACAAGCAATGCTTGTGAAAATTCGTTGGACCTTTCAAGAAAATCGGGAAACTTGATGACAATGGCCATGCAATATGCTATTGTTGGGGAAGGATTATTTTGTGGATAAGTTTGTGTGCTTTTTGATGATATGACATCCAATAAAGCATCAACGTTTTCTTCATAAATTGAACTTTTACTCTTGGTTGGACGGTTGTTGGAAACAGACTTAGACCTCTTCCTTTTACTTGAACTGCTTTCATGGAGACTAAGAAAAAAAGGTTTATCATCATCTAAATTGATTTCATCACTATCTCCTTTGCCCTCCATATTTTATTCGTTTGGATTGCTATTGTTTTGAAATTGTAATGGAGTCATAGTATGGTCTCCAATGGCAACAAAATCTCGAAACAAAGTAGCATATTTCTCATCAAATATGCTCAAATCCGTGTTCCTAAATTTGACATAATCTTTATTCTCCTGCAAGACAAAAAGATATTGTAAATCAAATATGTTCAATCTATATGCAATCATAACTTAAAATAATTAAAAAGAATAGTAATCATACCTTTATTTTCTCCTCCCACCACTCAGGTGACGCATCTACTAGGCTTCTCGTCTCACCAAGTCTGGTTTCAAGCCTCATTATTCATTAAGCGGTCATAAAGCTTCCACTCTTTTTTCATGTTCTACCATTTGTTTGTTAGTTGTTTTTTTCAAGGTTGTAACATGTTTTCTCCTTAATGTGTTTGTGTATATTTTCTCACCCAACTTTATCAAAGGAGATATCGGGTTTATGGCCTTTTTTTTTGGTTCAATCAAGCACGAATCAAGAAACACCATGAAGCTACGATTATCTCACCCAAAATTTGGTTTTTTCATTATTAAAGATGTTTCACAATCAACAATTGTAGTGTTGTTTTCATATATTATCTGTGAATTACATATAGTATCAACATTTAAAAAACAAACCAATTTCATTAACCTTCCTAAATGATTTCATTAATTTATCAAAATTCTAATCAAAACAGAAAAAATAGAATATCACAGAATATCAATTTCACAAATCGGTTACCTGTTAACACAAATATCATCCCTTAACAAAAAATTTCATGAGCTTCATATTTCATCAATTTCACTAATTATTAATCCATATTTCATCAAGTTCACAGAATAATCACTATTTCACATCATATCAATTTCAGAAATCGGGAGGAACAAATCACAGCATATTGATTTCAGAAATCGGGAGGAAGAAATCACATAACAGTTCAAGGAAAATTCAAAACTACATTTCTTTGCTACTGAAAATCGGAAATAGACAGGAAGATTTTGTAAAATCGGAGATCGGAAATCGACTAAAAAGAAAACAAACCTGATCGGAGATGGAGAAAGAAGACGTCGGTGTTGCAGTGTTGTAGGTCGCTAGTATCGCCGGTGTAGCAGGTCGTCGATGCTGCAGGTGTCCGGTGTTGCAGGAACGATCGAGATGCGAGAGAGAAGAAAGTGACGGAGAGAACGAGAGAGTAGGGAATATGATGTAAATGAAGAATTAATTAGGGTAGATGAGGGGTATATTGGTAATTTAATATTTTTAGCCGTTGAAAAGTTGGAAAAAATCATGTAATCGTGGCTTTTAAAAAGGCTCAATTTACTCTATTGGAAAAGTCATTTACAAAAATCATTTTCACTTAACCAAACATCTTTTTGACTTTTTCTAAAAGATAAAAATCAAAAGTCATTTTAAAAGTTAGCTCAAACACCCTCATAGTATTATTACATTAGGTTTAATGAAGTGGGGATTTTTTGGCCTGAAAAAATGTGTCGGCGCCGTAAGTGGGTTGAATGGTGAGATTGTGTAGGTTTATTGAAGTCATTGCACAACAGCCATAATTCAAAAAAAAAAAATTATTTCCTTTCTACTCTCTTCCATTAATTCCCGTTTTCTCAAATTCAATCGAAATGAATTCCAAGAAGAAACTGTCGAATAAAAACCAAAAACTCAAATGTCAATGTTAATTCCCGAAACCCGCAAGTAATATCTAGCATAGCTGGGTTGATGCATCGCGTTTTATACCATGTGGGGCGTGAAGTTTGGAGTTCAATTCCCATAAACTACCTCTTGTGGTACGACATATGAGGAATTTGTTCTCTGGAAATCCCTATCAACGTTAGGTTTGCCTTGTAAATAAGCTCGAACCTGAGGTACTCGCTGAAATATTGCGAGTAGGCTTCCGCATAATTTGTTCGCCGTTTCCACAAAAAAAAAAAATCCCGAAACCCAAATTGTAGATAATACTCAACAACAATTTCCACCCCAACAAACATATAACCAATTTCCACTCTCTCAAGACTATCCCCAAGTTATAGTCCTTACCAACAAGATCCAAATCCAGTTTACATTCCCAATACTCCGCATTTCTTTGATGAATGAAAAACAGTTTGATAAAGGTTTGCATTTTTCTTAACTGTATGACCATTTGACTAGAGGGCATTTGAATGCGATGCTTGCTCGCAAGCAACAAATAACATGAGTTTGTGGATGATAGTTTTAGAAATCTTTCTAGATTTTCATTATCGTTTTAGGATTTTTTTTATTC